CCGCAGCCCACCCCGGGGGGACCCAGGCGTCCGGGAGGTCCCACCGGCCCCAGGGGACCCAGGTGTCCCATCACCCCCAAGAGAAGCCCAATGTCTGGGCACCCTCCACCCCACATGGGAGGGCGTCCGGGCACCCTCCACTGCCCCGGGGGGGGACGGGGACACCCAGGCTCACCCCAGGCCCTCCCATAACCCCCTCTCTCTCCCGCAGTGAGGCCGAGGCCTGGTGCCTGCGGCAGCAGCTGGCGGCCGAGGCCCCCCCCCGCCCCCCCCCGCCCCCCCGCCAGCCCCGGCCTTGACTTCCCCGGTGCCGGCATCGGAGCTGGTGGGGACCTTGGTGTCGGCGTTGGCCCCGGCGTTGGATCCAGCGTTGGCCCTGGCGTTGGATCCGGCGTTGACCTTGGTGTTGGATCTGGGCTTGGAGACGACATTGGAGCTAACGTTGGCGTCAACGTTGGCCTTGGCCTTGGGGTCAACGTTGGATTTGGCCTTGGAGCTGATGTTGGACATGGTCTCGGAGCTGGCCTTGGGGCCAACGTTGACCCTGGTCTTGGAGCTGGTGTTGGACCTGGTCTTGGAGCCAACATGGGACCTGGTCTTGACGCCAACATGGGACCTGGTCTTGGAGCTGCCATCAGACACGGTCTTGGAGGCAACGCAGGGGCCAACGTCGACCCTGGTCTCGGAGCCGGCGTCGGAGCGAACGTTGGGCGTGGTCTTGGAGACTGTGTTGGACACGGTCTCGGCTCTGATGTCAGCGCTGGAGTTGGCATTGGCGTGGGAGCCGGCATCAGAGTCGACGTTGGCCTCGGTGTGGCAGCTGGTGCCAGCGCCGATGTTGGCCCCAACCTTGGGGCTGATATTGGAGCTGCTCTCGGGGCTGGTGCCGGAGATGATGTTGGAGCTGGTCTCCAAGCTGACGGTGGAGCAGACGTTGGCCCCAGTCTTGGAGCCGGCGTTGCGCTCAGTGTCGGGGCCAACATTGGGTCTGGTCTCGGTGGCGGCATCAGAGCCAGCGTTGGGCTCGGCATTGGGGCTGTTGGCCCTTCTCTTCCATCCGACGTCGGCGCTGGCGTTGGACTCACCGTCGGTGCCAGCGTTGGAGCCAATATAGGTGCTGGAGTCAGCACTGGTGTTGGACTTGGCCTTGGAGCCAATATTGGAGCCAACGTTGGCTCCAGTCTTGGATCCACTGTTGGACTTGGCCTTGGAGCTGCTCTTGGAGCCAATGTTGGCTCCGCTCTTTCATCTGGTGTTGGACCTGGCATTGGACTTGCCGTTGGAGCCGCCGTTGGAGCCAACGTTGGCTCCGGTCTTGGATCCACTGTTGGACTTGCCGTTGGAGCCGGTGTTGGAGCCAATGTTGGCTCCGCTCTTGGATCCGGTGTTGGACTTGCTGTTTAAGCTGGCGTCGGGGCCAACGTTGGCTCTGCTCTTGGATCTGGTGTTGGACTTGCCGTTGGAGCCGGTGTTGGAGCCAATGTTGGCTCCGCTCTTGGATCCGGTGTTGGACTTGCTGTTTAAGCTGGCGTCGGGGCCAACGTTGGCTCTGCTCTTGGATCTGGTGTTGGACTTGCCGTTGGAGCCGGTGTTGGAGCCAATGTTGGCTCCGCTCTTGGATCCGGTGTTGGACTTGCTGTTTAAGCTGGCGTCGGGGCCAACGTTGGCTCTGCTCTTGGATCTGGTGTTGGACTTGCCGTTGGAGCCGGTGTTGGAGCCAATGTTGGCTCCGCTCTTGGATCCGGTGTTGGACTTGCTGTTGAAGCTGGCGTCGGAGCCAACGTTGGCTCTGCTCTTGGATCTGGTGTTGGACTTGCCGTTGGAGCCAGTGTTGGTGCCAACGTTGGCTCTTCTCTTGGATCCGGTGTTGGACTTGCCACTGGAGCCGGCGTTGGAGCCAGTGTTGGCGCTGCTCTTGGATCCGATGTTGACGTTGGCGTTGGACTTGGTGTTGGAGCCAACGTTGGCACCGCTCTTGCATCTGATGTTGGAGCCGGTGTTGGACTTGGCATTGGAGCTGCCGTTGGAGCCAACATTAGTGCCGGCGTTGGCTCTGCTCTTGGATCCAGCGTTGGACTTGGCCTCGGAGGGAATGTTGGCTCCAACATTGGCTCCGCTCCTGGATCCGACGTTGGCGCCGGCGTTGGACTCGCAGTCGGAGCCGGCATTGGAGCCAACGGTGGCTCCGGTCTTGGATCTGCCCTTGGATTTGCCGTTGGAGCTGCGCTCGGAGCCAACGTTGGCTCCGGGCTCGGACCCGATGTTGGCACCACTGTTGGACTCAGCCTTGGAGCCAACATTGGAGCCAACGTTGACTCTGCTCTTGGAACCAGCGTTGACACCGGAATTGGACTTGGTGTTGGAGCCAATATTGGATCTGGCGTTGGATCTGGTGTTAGACTCGGTGCTGGAGCTGCCGTTGGAGCCAGCGCTGGCTCTGCTCTTGGATCCACCATTGGCCTTGGCCTTGGAGCCAGCGTTGACCCTGCTCTCGGATCTGGTGTTGGCCTTGGTGTTGGAGCTGCCATCGGAGCCAACGTCAGCACCGCCCTTGGCCCTGGACTTGGCCTTGGAGCCAACCTCGCCGCCGGCGTTGGCTCCTCCCTGGGCCCCGCCATCGGCACTGCCCTCGGAGCCGCTGGCGGAGCCAACGCCGGCGTAGGCTTGGCCGCAGGCGCCCGCCTCGTGCCGGGCCTGGGGGTCCCTGAGACGCCGGGGGGAGCCACCGAGACCTGGACGCCCCCCTACACCCCCCGGCAAGCCCCCCCCCTCGCCCTCGGCCCCCCGGAG